ATGAAGGTGACCATTTTTACCACCACACACATCACACACATTCCACAAATAAGATTGAGTTGGTGGACATAACTCGCTCTTAGGAACGTTTTGAAAATTTTGCCACGGGTGATTTCCTTCACAATATGTATGAAGATCAATAGTAAAATTATCTACACCTAAATTCCCATAATTCCAAGATGTAGTGTTTCTCAAATCAACAGTTATAAAAAAAATACCAAGAAAAAAATAAAACAAAATAAAAGTTCAAACTTGAACCCTAGCAATGTATACAGCTACAACTACACCGTAGTTCCCCGGCAACGACGCCAAAATTTGATCACGCCCAACTCTAGTCCTAAAAAGGATAAGTGATCGCTGCAAATATAATCCGATCTAAAAGTCCGGAGTCGAATCCCACAGAGAACAAGGTTTCGCTGTAATTGTTAATATCGCAAAGAAGACAAGTTTGAACAATTTCAAATTATAATATTAANAATAATACTTGGGACCTGGTCCCTTTACCATCTGACAAAAAGGCAATAGGCTGCAGGTGGGTATACAAAGTAAAGCATAGGTGTGATGGCACAATAGAAAGGTATAAAGCCAGACTTGTTGTGAAAGGCTATACCCAACAGGAGGGTGTGGATTTCACAAAAACTTTTTCTCCAGTGGTTAAGATGACCACAGTGAGAACCTTGATTGCAGTAGCAGTGAAACATAGTTGGGCAATGTTCCAGTTGGATGTCAATAATGCCTTCCTTCATGGGGATTTGCATGAGGATGTCTATATGCAGTTGCCACCTGGGCTAATGGTAGAGGCACAAATAAGATTGAGTTGGTGCACATAACTCGCTCTCAGGAACGTTTTGAAAATTTTGCCACGGGTGGTTTTCTTTACAATATGTATGGAGATCAATAGTAGAATTATCTACACCTAAATTCCCATAATTCCAAGATGTCATGTTTCTCAAATCAACAGTTATAAAAAAATACCAAGAAAAAACAAAACAAAATAAAAGTTCAAACTTGAACCCTAGCAATATATACAGCTACAACTACACCATTAGTTCCCCGGCAACGGCGCCAAAATTTGATCACGCCCAACTATGCCTTATAAAAAGGACAATGCGGTCGTTGCAAATATAATCCGGTTTACAAGTCCGGAGTCGAATCCCACAGAGAACTAAGGTTTAACCACAGCTGTTCACTATCACCAAGAAGACAAGCTTGAACAATTCCTAACTTATAGATATTAAGATTCTTGTGTTTAACTACTTAACTAACAAATTAAAATAGTAAATTAACAACTAAAGATATTGAGAGCTAGAGAAAAGATTAAGGAGGTCTAGAGTTATGATTTCCCCAATTGTCGGAATCCTTCCTGCTATGTCTTCTATAATTTCGCCTAAGTATTCTCTACCGATCATGAGCACTCTTATTACCGTAAATCTCTCCCGAGTAATTACGACAATTTACTAGACGTACTCTCCCGAGATACGCTAGCTGGCTTTTAATACAGCTCACTTTAGATCGCACCCAAGGCTTCGTTATCCCTAATCCCGCCTTTAAACCCTCGGTTATTGATCTCTCATATACTTTGGGAGTGGTGTTGTTCAACAATTACCTAAATATGCACTCTGTCCCGAGTTATGCATACTAAATAGGCACAGCTAATTGAGAGCTCTTCAACCAACCACAATATAAACATAGCTGAACAAATAGAGAAAAGCTATGGCTCAATTATATAAAAACATAACAAGAATTTATCCTACAAAAGGTTCTATCAAAACTCTAGATAACAAATTAGCTATTCATAATAGTATGTAAAACTACAATACTAAAAGTCATAACCAACAATGAAAAATAGGAAGAGGAAGGAAAAACTCGTAGAAGAATTCTCCGCCTTGCTCCCAATGTGTTCTTGCCTCCAAGGGTGTTGTCTAACCTTAAAGTAGTGTCTCTCCGCCTCCTTAGGTCTAATTTGTGTCCAAAATATGTCCTCTTCTTGTTCTTGGCCGGCCTCCTTTGTTTAATATAGGGTTTAGGACTTAAAATCCCATGTTTTGCACTTTAGTCCCTGAAATTTTCGCTTCCTGCCGCGGTTTTGCCGCGGTCGCGGTGGAACCGCGGCCAAACATGCCCTCTGATTCTTCAGTTGTCCGCGACCATCTTCTACCGCGGTCGCGGAAAAACCGCGGTTTTTTCATCCTGTTCCGTTTGGAATTTGGAAAAACGTAAAACATGAAAGTTGTAGCCCTTTGAGTTAGCTTTCCAACCATATATTGTGGAGCCCAAATAGAGTTCTGAGCCAAAAAGTTATGTCTATTTTACTAGACAGTGCGCAATATGCCTCCTCAAGTCTTGGTTCGTACTTAATTATCAAATTTGACCTCCGAACACGATCCCGGCTTAATTCCTTCAGCTTTTACTCAGACTTCAAAGCTTCAAATCACTTAAATTCATTCCATAACATATATATAGCTCGGAATCACACCTACAAGGCATAAAACACACAATTAGTGCAAAACACTAGCGATTAAAGCGCAAACTCAATTAAAGTGCAGTAAATTCGAGTGTAATAAGCGACTAAAATATGCAATTATAGCCTATCATCAATATCCTATACTCAGAATAAAATATTTGGATAATGAATTTAAAATTCTTCCTTATATTCTTTTGTAAGTATATGATCCAGCTTGCAAATTCTTTACATTTGCAAGGTACAATAATCTATTAATTCGGAATTGAGTGACAATTTTTCGATAGAGCTGGCAAATTATATTTTATATGTTCAAAAGTTCGATTATCACAAGGTTATTTTGTTTGTTCTACTCTTGTATGCATCGTTTATAACTAGGTAAAGGTGTCAAGATTCTAGTTTTTTCTTCTTTTATAATGTAAAGGAGTTTATTTCACAATAAGGACCTCAAATAATTTATTTTAAACCAAAAAGATGTCTCTTTTAGCTCCCTTTAATTCAAACTTGAATTGTGGGGAAATTATTGGCTTCACTTTTTTTGTTGCACTGTTTTGAATTATTTCACCTTTTCTTCACCTCCACTTCTATTTTTTAATACAAAGAGAATAAAATCAATTTATTAAACCAAAAGGTAAAAAGCAGGTGTTGTCCCTATTTTCACTGTCTATCGTCATTAATAAATGAAACGGATTAAATTATGTCAAATAAGAACATGTTACTCGTATAATTTTCGGCTAAGATTTTTCCCGTGACCCCTACGATTTAATCAAATAAAATTATTTGCTATTACTTAGTAGCTTGTCCTATTTATTGGAGCTTATGTCGATTCATACTTAACTTTGATATGTTAAAGTTTTTAAATTTAATTGAACGATCAAACATCTAATTTCCCATATCAATTCCCCTTCAATCAAGATCTTCTATTTCCTTTTTCCTACTCCAACCATATACCAACACCTAGTGGCGTAGCCAGAATTCTTTCAAGGATGTTCAAATTTTAAATAAGACAATAATTTTCTTTTGTCGATAAATGGTGCGCCAAAATTTTAAAGCAAACTACGCAGTATTTAGCTAAACAATAAAAATACTTGCTAGAGCTATAATTATAAACCAAATTAACATTAGAAAGACAACAATAGACATTTTATTAATAAAAGTAAACATAAAACTAAGAAAAAGAGAGAGTCGAGAGAGCTTGTAGTCTGAAAAGAGCTTTTGTTGAAGAATTTTTTGTAGAGCTTGACTTTTAAATTGTAAAATTTGATAAAGAAATTACTTTTAGCTAAAAACTACTTTTAATATTAGTTGTATATATTTACACAAATTTTAAGTTTTAAAGTTATTTATTAGGAAAAAATTTAGCTTGAAAAAGGGTCAAATAGACCACAAACGGTGGTTCCGTTTAGTTCTGATAAACAAAATGGACAGATAACTTTGAATCCGTGAACAACACATTACTTTGAATACTTTGGACCGCATAGCTACCTCACTCAATTATGTTAAGGGCGTTCAAAACATAACATATAACCATTTAACTTGTGGCTACGCCAATGTCAAAACCACTAAATAATGATAAAAATAGAATTTAATCAGGACATCTAATATTAACCGTGTAAAATATTTTTACTCTATTAATATAGTTTAATATTTTATAATAAGTTGATTGGTTTATTTCCTAGTTACTATTTACATTTATTATAAAAGATTATTTGTAATTACCTCTTCAGTGATATTATTAAAAAGGAAAAGGATCAAATTTTCACTAGCACTATTTTTGGTCTAAACTTTCTATTGTCATAAGAAAAAAGTTCATTTTTATCCTCGATCCTAAACAGAGCTCCTATAATTATTTTTTTAACCTTAGTCAAAAGTCGAGGAATAAATATGAATATTCTTTCTCCAAAATTTCGGACACATGGACTGCAACCATTTCATGTTGGAGCTTCTTTTAAATGGTAAAAGCTAATACAAGACCATTTGCTAATATTAAAAATATAGATGAACTAAGTTCTCATTTTGCCATAGATTTTGGCTTTATTTTTTCAGAATTTTTTTGACAACATTGTTTGGAAAATAAACTTTAAAAATTATCAAATTTCCAAAAAACTGATTTAGGACAGTTTTAGGGTGAAATTTTTTCTTCCACTCACAAAACTTCAACTTTTATTCTAATGAAATGCGTGTTCAAATACAATTTTAACTTTCAAAAATTTAATTTTTCAATATAACTTCAAAAACTCTTTTTTCAAATTTCAATTAAATCTATGTCCAAACAACAAGTGGATAATATATGGCTTTTGTGCTAATACAATTCTGATATCAAACAAAACAAAATACATGTATTACCTGCCTTTGTTGACTAGAATAAGCTTTCTTTGATTCTTGAAAAAGGCCAATATAGCTCTCAATAATTCTCATAGGGTCATACCCCTTACTCACCTAGGGTGGTTCATTAGGGTGGGTGGTGTACTACTCATCCACTGGACACTGCAAATCTGCAACTTTCTAACGTCTACTATTTCTTTCTTCTCTACTATAACAAACACTGTCTAAAGTTTACTGTAAAGCTTGCAAAATCTTTATTAAACACCACCGCACTTACTCACCAACCCCATCACAAAACCTGCACACTCTACTCACGTTACTCATTCCTTCCTCTCTTTCTTGGTTAAATTCTATATATAGCAAAATTAATTGCTTTCTGTTTGAAAGTATCCCGCAATTCACGTGCTATTATCCTCTCCATTTCCTTTTTCTGTTATAAAGTTTTGTTTTTTTTTTTCTCTCTTTCTTTTATAAGAGAGCGAGTGAGTCAAATTTGAAGCTAAAGTTTGAATCTTGATGAGGTTTAGTGAGATGGGTATGTGGTGGTTTTGTGGATTGGTGATTGTGAGTTTAGTAATAGGAGCAAAAGGGTATCCAGAGGAGGATTTAGTGAAGGCATTGCCTGGACAACCTAAGGTTAGTTTTAGGCAATATGCAGGGTATGTGGATGTAGATGTAAAAGCTGGGAGGAGTTTGTTTTATTACTTTGTTGAAGCTGAGGTGAATCCTGATCATAAACCGCTCACTCTTTGGCTCAATGGAGGTCTGTTTTTTACTTCTTCTTTTCCATTTTTTAAACAAATGTGCCTTGGAATTTATGTGTACTTTCATATTGCTTGGAGTTCGAGCTTTTGTTTTTTGTTTGTTGCGTGTCATGTTTTTTTAACTTCAATGTTTTAAAAAAAGGAAACAACTTTCTTGTTCATTTTTGTACTTTGTTTTTGCCCCCCCCCCCCCCCAAAACCCCCTCCCTCTCCTTACACACACTCTATATATTTGTGCGTATTCAATCTGAGTACTGAAAGCAGACGTTAATTAGTCTGCAGCTACGTTATCACAAGCTAACAAGATGTTAAGTTTGATAGTGAGATGGAACTTACAGCAGTATTTGGACTGAACTAATTTTAGAACTACAAAAATAAGAGTAAACTTATACTGAGATGGAATCTCAAACTTGTTGAACTACACGGGAGTTCACTCAAATTGAGTGAAAGCAGTGGCGGAGGCAGCATTTCCGCGGAAGGGTTCAAAAAATAAAAAAGTTACAAAAGAGATTGTAGCTAGTGGGACTTGAACTAATGACCTTATGAAAGTTTTAAACCCCTTGACCACTAAGCTATGCATTTGAGCTGCATCAAAGGGATTCAAAACATAATATATAGAGGTCTTTCCGCCCCCTGACCCCCCCTAAATCCGCCCCTGCTTTTATGAGTAAGCCTGATTGAACTAGTGAAACGAAGGCAGAATCTTGCAGAGTTATATTTCTTTTTTCCGGATATTTCTTAAATTAAAATGTTGTGAATTTGGTGAATCAAGAACAATAAAAGGTCTTATCTTTGTGTTTCAGGCCCAGGTTGCTCATCAATTGGTGGGGGTGCCTTTACAGAGTTGGGACCATTCTTTCCCACAGGTGACGGTCGAGGTCTTCGAAGAAACTCAAAATCATGGAATAAAGGTATGCTCAGTAGGGTTGAAAGAGCTGATTACTACATGTTTGTTTAGAACAATATGAGTAAAGATAATGAACTCACCACTTCTTCTCTTTTGTACACTAGCATCAAATCTCCTATTTGTCGAATCTCCAGCTGGAGTAGGCTGGTCATACTCGAATACAAGTTCAGACTACAACACCGGTGATGCAAAAACTGGTAAAAGAAAAAGCAACAACGATGTTATGATCATGCATTAGTTGTATTTAATCCTAGCAAATAGCTGAAATTTAGCCTACTTGCTTCTGTGGCAGCAATGGATATGCATATATTCATGATGGAATGGTTGAAGAAATTCCCGGCATTCAGATCAAGGGAACTATATCTCACAGGAGAAAGTTATGCAGGTCAAAGACATTTAACAATCAAACTTATCTCCTGTTCTCATTTTGAACTATCAAACTTATTAAAACTATAGTATATGTTTGTAATTGCTGTTGATGAGAAGACTATATTTTTATAATTGCTGTTGATGCTTGAAGAGAATTGTAGGAATTCGTTTTAAAAATTGTCAGCGCCTTATTCAGAGAAAAACAAAAATCTGTTGCTGGATTTAGGCAACAGATTGTCTTCTAATTATTTTCATTTAGCTTGTCCTTCTTCAACTGGTCCCTAAGGAATCCTGTGACGTTTAGACTTGTCAGGGAAAGGGGATTTAGTCCTAAGCCCGTGCTTAGCAGGATCTGTCGTTAAGAAATGAGATTCGTGATTCTGTTCTGTTCTTTCTCTTCTGCTGGTAATATTCCTCTAGGCTGACATAGTTTTATCTTCTCTTGTTCAGGGCACTACATTCCACAATTAGCTGTTACTCTTCTTGACCACAACGAACATTCAAAAGAATACAAGTTCAACGTTAAAGGAGTTGCAGTAAGCAAACTATACCTCTCTTATGCATGCCTTTATTTATTAATTTCTTTATCTTCATATTTATGATTTATCTGGAGAAGTTTTCTGTGGGTATATGCTGGTTAAATGTTTCATTTTCTTTGTCAGATTGGGAATCCACTCCTGAAACTTGATCGTGATGTTCCAGCAACCTATGAATACTTTTGGTCTCATGGGATGATTTCTGATGAAGTAGGGCTAGCAATTATGAATCAATGTGACTTTGAGGATTATACCTTTGGCAGTCCACACAATGTTTCACATGAATGCAATAATGCCATATCTGAAGCAAACGACATTATTAGTGAATATATAAATAACTATGATGTGATTCTTGATGTGTGCTATCCGTCCATAGTGGAACAAGAGTTGCGATTAAGGAAAATGGTACTTTAAATTTGGTTTTCTTCATTCACTCAACTTCTTTATATCTGTGTTTATGCTGGAACTTAATAGTGCTTTCTTTCCCCCTTTGCAGGCTACTAAGATGAGTGTGGGTGTTGATGTGTGCATGAGCTATGAAAGGCGCTTCTATTTTAACCTTCCGGAGGTTCAGAAAGCACTTCATGCAAATAGGACCAACCTGGCGCATAGCTGGTCGATGTGCAGCCGGTAAGTGTGTAAAATATCAAGTTCATATAAACAGACACACAATAACTGATTACATCTATGATGTTACTATTTCACTAGCAAATTAGAACCTTTGACTTCTATGATTTACCTACTATGTCAAAGGCCATAAATTTCAATGAACCGTTTGTATTGCTAATGGATTCTTACTTCTATTGCAGTGTTCTGAATTACAGTGACGTAGACGGGAACATCAATATTCTTCCATTGCTCAAAAGAATAATCCAAAACCATATTCCTGTTTGGATTTTCAGGTAAAGATTCCAAACCTACTGTCCATAGGTTTGGTCCATTTTCTTGTCCTAGAAATAAATAGTGCTCGATTTTGAATTTTCTTGCTGCAGCGGAGACCAAGATTCTGTAGTGCCATTGCTTGGCTCCAGGACCCTTGTACGCGAGCTAGCTCATGACATGGGGTTCAAGATTACAGTCCCATATGGAGCTTGGTTTCACAAAGGACAGGTAATGTAAAATCGAATTCTTTCTTTCCAACAACGCTGATGATGAGTGTAATCAACTGTTTGTGTTGTTTAAACAGGTCGGAGGTTGGCAAACAGAGTATGGCAACTTATTGACCTTTGCCACTGTAAGAGGTGCTGCACATATGGTGCCATATGCACAACCTTCAAGAGCTCTGCATCTGTTTAGTTCATTTATACGTGGCCGGAGGCTCCCAAACAACACACGTCCCTCCATCGACGACTGAGAGAAATCCACGATTGAGCACTTCAAGAGGATAATGAACATTGGGGACTTCATCTAGGAAATATAAAACAAGAAAAAGCAAAATCATTGCCTTGGTAATTGGTTCTGAAGTAGCTAAGCATTTCCTAGATTAGCAGTGTGATAGGGGGAATATGTCAAGGGTTCTCTATCTTCAGTATCTTTCTTTGAAATATAAAAAAAAGGGAAGCAAAGGCAAAAAGAAAAGAAAGAAGAATTGGAAGCCACAGCTGATTTCTTATATACTGTACCAATTTTTTATTTTTGTTTACCCCAAAATTGGGTATAAATTAAATTTGTACGCGGTTTAAAGGACACGTGGTTTAATTCAACGCGAACAACTAAGAATAGCAGATAAATGAATTAAAGACGAAATAAACGATCAAACCAATTGCAATGTTGTGACCAAGCTTGATCTTATATTGAACAGTGAACTCGTCCTCGATTGGACCTTCGGTTCGAGCACAATCGTGAATGAAGAATAGAACAAGTGAGCAAAGTTCTTAACAGTAGCTAGAAAGTAAAAATAAACTTTTATTGCTTTGGATTGCGTGTTACAATGTGTCAGATCAAAGAAAAACTTCCCTTTTATATAGTAGGATAATTTCAGTCCTAGTACAAGTTTTTTTCCGGTAATTATTGATCCATAGTTGATTCTGAACGACATTCGCGCCGCAATGTCCGGTTGAGGGCGATTATTACATCCCCATCAGTCGTGCATAATCGTCCACTGCGTCTCCCGCGGTCTAAAAGTTATACTTGGTCCGGGGTGCGTTGCTTTACCGTGTCTGATGTCGGATATATCGTCTATCCTTCCCGGGTTTAGATACGATGGGTCTCTGGCCCCGATTACAATCTCGCAGATCCGCGTTCCCCCTTCGTTCTTTCATCGGGGAATCGGGGTTGGCATTGCCCCTAATTTTACCCGTACACAGATAGTCCCCTCGTTTTTCGGAGGTAGATTTATCGAAGCGATGGGAAGCGAAAAGTGAACCCCGATTTCTTCCTTCGTACGTTACCACCGACGAAACGTCCCATAAGTCGCGTCGTTCTGACTTGAGACACGTGTCAGCCGCCAGTTGATTGTCCTTGAATGTGAAACGTCGCGCATTGATTGTTCTTCCCCTATAAAAACTCTGACCCTTTTTCACTTCTCCACTTTTCGATTCCAGAAGTCTTCGACTTACCCTCTGTCACGACCCAAAATTCAAACCGTCGTGATGACACCTAACCCCACCCGCTAGGTAAGCCAACTAATAATAAAACACAATATAATAATACTGAAGTGAGTCAAAAATGAGATAACTGAATTTTATACAACTCCATAAGGACTGGTAGTACAAATCATGAGCGTCTAAAATTTAGATTTTTACAAGACTGAAGTGAAACAATCACAACACCTGTTCGAAATGTAAATGAACATAATTCGAATCTAATGCTACCAAGGACAAGTGATAGCCATAATTGGAGAGTAAGTACATCTTCTGATCCAGCTCCCGCCGTATGCAGCAACATCAACATCCAACATCTGCACGCAAGGTGCAAAAGTGTAGTATGAGTACAACTGACCTCATGTACTTAATAAGTAACAAACATAACCTTAGGTTGAAAGTAGTGACGAGCTAGGACAAGGGTCAGAGTCCAACTCCAATAACCGCAACAGTTCATAATAGTATAATAAAGATGGTACAAGAAATAACTCAGCTCATTCACAGTTAGGGAAAATAGGCAAGCTTCTAAAGTATAACAGTATATCCCAAATCTTTCACCGAAAACCCCCAAAAATATATGAGTAAGTTTGAAAACTGTGATTTCCCCAAAAACCTTTCAACAATAAAGTAGATGTTTCATTTTCAGATAGCATGAGGAGAATACATCTCTATGCCTACATGTCAATATACAGGTGAAATCATGAATGTCACCAGAAATCGGGTAGCAGAAGAAAATGCATATCTATGCATGTATCTCAGGTATGCATGTAAAATGCAATGCATCTCAGTGATGAACTCATGTAATCACACTGTCAGAGCACTCAATCACTCAGTACTATACGGGGCAGGTCCAGCCCAGGGAAGATCCATCCCTCAATATAAATAGTGACTGACAGTCAGTCACTCAGTACTATATAGGGCCAATCCAGCCCAGGGAACTCCATTCCAAATATAATATCCACTGCGCTCACTGTGGGGGTGAAGACTCCGGAGGGGCTTCTTCAGCCCAAGCGCTATAATAAGCCAGATCCAGGCATAAATAAATAAATAAAAATATGTTGCGGCGTGCAACCCGATCCCTTAATTATCACTCACAATCAGGCCCTCGGCCTCACTCAGTCATTAATCTCTCTAGTCTCTTCGCTCACAATGCTCATGCTAAGCGGCCCTAATAAATGATACGAGATGTGACAATACACGATAACAGAGACTGAGATATGATATGTAATGATAAATGCGACTGAGTACATAACTGCAATTAAGTAAAAACTCAATAGCAAAGAACGGCCACTATGGGTCCCAATAATACCAGCATATAACTTAAACATGATTTCTAGCATCAATTACAGCTCAGGTGCTCTAACACATAGAGTACAGTAAAAATGTTTAGATAAGATAGCTACACAGTTCCATGGAATCGACTAAAACACAATTTACACGATGCACGCCCACACGCCCATCACCTAGCATGCGCGTCACCTCAACATCCATCACATATTACGTATTTCGGGGTTTTATACCCTCAGCACCAAGTTTAGAAGCATTACTTACCTCGAACAAGCCAAATCCAATACCGAGCAAGCCAAGCGATGCTACAAAAATGCTATCTCGCGCGTACCGACCTCCGAACGGCTCGTAACTAGCCAAAAGCAACTCAAATACATCAAATAAAGCCTAAGGAAACAGTTCCAAATGATAAAGGTCGAATCTTTAATCAAAATCCCAAAGTCAACCAAAAAGTTAAACCTGGGCCCCCACCTCGGAACCTGACAAAAATCACAAAATCTGACTATCCATTCAATTACAAGTCCAACCATACTAGTTTCACTCAAATCAGACTCCGAATCGATGTTCAAAACTCAAAAACTCACTCTAGGAAACTTTAGTCAAAACCCCCCATTTCTCTTTTGAAATCATCAACCAAATGCCAAAATCGAGGATAGATTCACGAAATATGACCAAACCGAGTAGAGAACACTTACCCCAATTCACGTGGTGAAAATGAGATAACTGAATTTTATACAACTCTCCAAGGACTGCTAGTACAAATCATGAGCGTCTAAACTTTAGATTTTACAAGACTGAAGTGAAGCAATTACAGCATCTATTCGAAATTGATGTTCTAAACGTCAATATCACACAAGAGGGGGGGGGGGTGATTTGTGTGGTACCCAATTTTCGCTCTAGAAGAACCTGGTTCTTCTAGGTGTTCTAAATACTACTATTTGCGGAATGATAAGTACATAAAATAAAGAACACAGAGATTTTTACGTGGAAAACACCTGGCTCAAAAGGTGAAAAAACCAGGACCTACTACTCAGTAGGATTTTCCCAAACTTCCACTAATATCACTGAGCCAAAACAGCATTTACAAAAACTCTTTGTAAACCTAAGGATTAACTCTAATCCCGTTGTAGCACACAGCCTCAACTGTTGCAACAACTTCAAGTTAGCTTATAACTTGAACACTCTAAGTACCTAATACAATTGCTTCTATGAAAGCTGAAAGGTACAACTTTTAACCACCTACTACAATTGAACTAGAATAAAAGAGAGACACAATGGAATTGGTTCTTCTATCTCGTTCAAGTAGCTTCAGGAGTGTACACTCAAATCTCACATAAATTGCTTGCAAAATCGCCTTGCTCTTTTGCTCTCAATTTAGTTTAACTTCTGCATTTGTGCAATACCTGTAAAGAGAACAATCACTGTCTTTTAATAGGTTAGTAATCAGAGTTTGATTGGGACTCAATTGCTGATCTTCTATCGTAGTTGAGTCCTTGAAGATCTCAAACTCCAACACTATCTTTATCCGGATTGTGTTCTCTTCATATACGGAGACTTTCTCCCCTTATCCAATATGCAACCTTTTCGATCAGATCAGGAGATATTGCTGCTTGATCAGTAGGACTTATCTCCTTTACGTGCATCTCACATGTATAGGTTGATCATGACTGTGCTTCACATGATGGACCTGGTCCATGACTGAGTTCTTTTGTCATTCTTCAAAACTTCACCTGTTCTTGGGCCAACAAATTCCCCCTTTTTGATGATGACAAACTCTGCGTGTTTTACTGATTCGAAACCTGTAAGAACTCAGCTTAACCATCAACACTAAACTTAGAAAATTCACTTATCATCAAGGACCAGGTTAATTAGGTTATAAACATCACTTATTTCAGAATATGTAAAGCACAATATCTCTTCCCCCTTTTGGCATCATCGAAAAGTTGCATACACAATGTGAACCCCAGATTTTAATAAATACTCATGGCCACTGGGGCAACTGCAAGTGCAAGCTTGGTGCAATCATCAGTAATCTAACAAACATATTTAAACTATCAAGGTCAGAATAATCATTAAACAAGAGAAAACAACAGTTGTCATTGATAGAGATATGTTGCCACCAACAATCCACAAAAAGAAATAAAAACATTCAACCATGAGCAAAAAAAAAAAAAAACAGAAAAATCCCTAATCTGGGTCACTGGGGGTACTAGACAAGTTCAGGAGACAAGTGCTAGGAGTCCTAAGGCTCGGAGGAACTGGAGGGTTGAGTTTGGGGAAGATTCAACATGTTCTGACGAATTCCATCATTCTTCTCCTTTTCTTTGGCAAGCTCAATTCTAAGACCATCTCTCTCAGTTTCCACTTCAACCACGCGAGCCTTGAGCCTAGCAATTTCAGCATCCTTAGCTGCACATTCCTGAACCAGAGTCCTAACTTTGCTGTTGATGGGTGTCTTCAGAGATGAACCAGGTTCAACTGGGATGGCATGGACCGGACAGTCACAGGCAAGAAGAGTTTTGATGCCAGAGTGTTCCTTGCTCGAGGCCATTTCCCGTTTCTTCAGAGGCACATTTAGCCTGTCCAGTACTGTGGTCAGTATGAAGCCATATGGAGTAGCATGAGCCTTGGAACCATTTATAACGTTGTCTAGCAGTTTGACAATGAGTGCAGGCCAGTTGATATGCTTTCCTCTCTCCAGGCACTCCACAAGAACCAGGTCCATGTAGTTAGCAGTGTGCCTTCTCTCTTGTCTGGGCAATAAGAACTTGTTGACAAACTCAAATACAACCTTGTGCTAAGGCCTCATCTCACTTTTCTGCACAGCCCTGGCTTTATTCACTTCCTCTGAATCA